CCAATCTATGGTTCTAGAGACCCCTACTTGGATGAGAATCCCTAACCCAAATCCCAATATTACTATTTTAATTTTTTTTTATTTTAAATAATACAAAAATAATACAGATTGACACCAATAAACCACAATAGTTGGGGTCCAAAACTTCTATCTGTAGTTTAGATCAAAAGTGAGCGGCAATGACAGGATTGCCAACTTAGACCACCAAAACAAAGCTTGTCAAGTTCATGGAGTTATCCACCAACATGGGTAACACAATGGCTAAGCATGCAAAATGTGTATTCAATATAAAGAGTTCAATATTAGCAGTTTGGTACTTTTGAAAAACATTTATTAAAACTATCCTTTAATTTCACATAAAAATGGGAATAAATTTGAAAATCGCCTAAAATGATTCCAATTATAAGGTGCCATGTCAAGAGATCCATCATTGATGACAGCAAAATATTGTGGAAATCTTGTATGCACAAGAATTTAACATTTTAACAAGAAAAAATTAAATTAATTTTTTATAGTTTTATTAAGATTTTGAATAAAACATTACAATACATTGTATTTTAATGTATTAATAAAAATAATATAACAATACAAAGGTTGTAAGCTGCATATTTCACACTCAAAATGTCTGCGAAGTGCTAATCTGAACCACTACACAATTGTGAGTGTGAAATGTCAAAATCTAAACAATAGTAAATGCCTGGGAAAATAGATATATTGAAGGTATTAAAACTCAATTTAATGAATTTATTAGAATAAAAGATTATACAGAAAAAATCAAACTTTAAAAGTGTCACAGTCAAGTTTGAATTTGTTTCAAATTGGGATCCACTGATGATTGATTCTAATATGAACATAACAAAAATCTTTGGGGTCCATCATGCATGTGTGGCTTAAGCGACATTGTGGTTTATTGGTGTGCTGCTTAATAGCACTGACCTGTATTAATATTTTTCAAATCTCACTTTAAATTGAAAAAAGTTTTTGTACTTTTTTTTTCTTCAAAATCATAGCATAAATGTAAATGATGGCATTTTAATAACAGAAAAATATAAAAATCAAAGTATAGCACTCTGCTACTGAAAAGGAAAGTGTCATGACTTCCAGTACCTAGACAATGAAAGTGCTAACATTTTTGTTATAGACTAGGAATTAAATGGACACAGTTTGTTTTTCTATTGTAGAAAATCAATATAATAAAAACCATTACAAACTGAATTACAATTAGTGTCTAGCAATAAACTTGGTGTTCGGCCAGTTTAAAGTGTTTGTTTTTATGACTACTGCTTTACAATTGGTGGTCTGGCATAGCCATCAAAATAAAAATGAATTGTTTCTTGTTTCTATCACAAGCACTTTAGATAATTTTTCATACATTATGTCCAATCTAATTAAGTCATTTTTTTTTTTTTTTTATTTCTATAGAAATAAGATTGGTTATGCACTTGAATTTCAAAATGCTAAAAGAATTGTTAAAAATATTAAAGCTTCCAATTTTATATTTATTTTATTGATATTAATGAAAACTTAAAATATATTTTATGAACTATATGGTTGATATTTTGACCCATTCATATTAAATCACAAAAAATAGTAAAATTATTGTGGTTTTCAAATTAAAATCAGTTAATGCAAATATGCATGCATGAGATATGAGTCCTGTAACCTAATAGTGTTCTTGAGGCATGTAGCAGCAATAGGTATGTCTAGGGCAGTGGTTCTCAACCGGGGTCTACATGGACCCTAGGGGTCCATGTAATATTTCCGGGGGTCCACAGGCAAAACTCAATTGTTGTGTTAATTAAAAATAGTAATAATAATTATTATTATAATTATAGTAGAATATTTTATTTGTATTAAATTAGTTTTCATTTAAAAATAAAGCTTAATCGTATACTATTTCTTTGATAATTAAAACCTTAAAATTTATATTAGTGAAGAATAGAAAATTGTTCTTATGTCCAATAGCTATGAAGGGGTCCACCAAGATAAAAAGAAGGGGAAAGGGGTCCATGGGTAAAAAAAGGTTGAGATCCACTGGTCTAGGGCAAGGTAGTCTGATGGAACTCATCCCTCTGGTTTTGAATTCAGCATTCTTCTAGACTGTTTTCTACCCAAGGCTAGAGAGCCCAGTCTATTCTACTATTAAACCCTTAACTTGTCAGGTTTCATGCTGTTCACAAGGATATTTGTTTGAAAGTGAATGTGATGAACTCTGCAGGAATTTGAACTTGGCTCACTGATTATGCTTTCCAAGGTGTGCTGTCATGCATTTAAAATATAATGCAAATATGACTTGTAAAAGGCAGTTGTTGTTTTTAGCTTTTTGCTATGTACTCTTATTGAATGTAGCATTTAATAAATCCTATGTCCAATTTTAATTTTTCTCTAAAGAAAAATCTATTTTCTATCTGAATTTCTGAAATGAATTATCATTATTTACAGTTGGACTAATTTCCTCATTTTTGTTCTTACTATCACAATGTTTCAGCAGTTATGTCCTCTAATGTTCTTCAGGTATCTGTCAATCCGTTACCTTCAAGGAATTTTGAACTGAACTCTTTATTCACTCTATTGAGTAGATTGTTCTCATTCTCACTTTAGGGGTATCTTGTCCTGTGTAATTGTCCTTTTAGTATTGCTAGTTCGCATTTTTTCAAGTGAGTTTCAAACTGTTTGAGCCATGGATAGAACTCATAATTACCAACCCACCAGATTTATATCTGATGGCTATTGTCCCATGGGACAATCCTGAAGCCAGAATTTGAAGCCATGCTGTTGCTGCTCAGTTTTGTCTAGCTTGGCTCTCTTTACTTCTTGTATTGCCTTCCTTTACCACTACATTCTTTTTGTCATGCTCCAATACGGCTGCTATTTCTGACACTTAATGTTCTTTCTTAATCAATGGCTTCTAAATGATTTTGTATTTATGCTACACCTACTGATTCCTTCAAATATCTGATTCTCTAGTGCCTGGTATTTTTACTTCATTTCACAGGGGTTCATGAGAGCCTTTTTCCTTCCATAGATGATCAGCTATACTTGATTTCACTGACTCACTCTATCCATGAGTGTATGGTGCTAACATTGGGATGACAAGTATCCATTAGAGAAATTATGTGCCAGTATGGAGATTTTGGGACCCAAGTTGCATGCAACATGGTTTTCAATGGTGTCGTCTCCTGAAATTGCTGATTAAGAATCTTGGTCACTTATCCAGAGAATATCTTAAGTTGATAATTCATGTGCAGATGAATATTTGGAAGCTGTAAGCCAATGCTTGAATCCAAATCAGAGATGACATCAAATGGATATTTCCAAGTTGATTTTGAAGCTTTTTCAGTGATAAGACAATGGGTGTTTTGAAGAATTTGGCGTTCATAGACCATGCACCCTACTTAGCAGATTTTACTCCATTTACTTATTGTTTGCAAACCTTAAAAAGAGTTTGTGCTGGAGAAATTCTTTGAATATTACAGAGTTAGTAGCAGCAGTAGGTGATCAGTATTTCAATGACCAAACATAAGTATTTTATTTACATTTTCTTTTGAAAGGATTAAACAAACTTGAGAAACAATGTGACAAGTATATTGAACTGCAGGATGAATATGTAGACTAGTATGTCCATTTCATGATTGGTTGGCCAGTAACTTTTCATCACCTTTATATACAATTATTCTACTTGTTTGCATGCAATCTAACACTTTCCTACCTAGGATTATATATATATAGAAAAACAGACCACTTTAAGGTACCATTATAATAATTTATTTCACCAGAGTCCTTAAAGGACGCTGGTGAAATAAATTATTATAATGGTACCTTAAAGTGGTCTGTTTTTCTTTAAAATGTTAGCTCTGGATTTACATTGAGCTCTCAGGATTATCATCCTCCTTGGGATTACCCATACGGATTACCAAGTTCTTCATAACTTAATTATATATATATATATATATATATATATATATAAAATCTCCGATTTCTAGTCCTTTTGGACTGCCATCAGTTATGCTTTCTCACCAAGAAACCTAATTGATGTTAATGATAAAGAATTGGGGAAATGCAAAGGAGGAGAGGGTAAAAAGCAAGAGAAAATGGAAAGAAAACCAGGTGAAAGGAAAAATACATATAGCCAGAGGCAAAAGAAATAGAAACAAAACAAAAGGCATAGTCAGTTTTGCTGGTTGAATATTGATATTATGATGGAAAGACATACAAGTGTGATTCATTAATTGTGAACCATTGCATTAAAAGATAATACAAAAGATAAGATGTGGTAGAAAATACTTGTGCACTCATTTCTTTTTTAACTTCTGATGTTTAGAGAAAAACTTGGCTGGATGATGAAAATTATGAGGAATAGAGAGAATGAGAAAATTCAGGCAAAGAGTGAGAGAGAAAAGTCATGAAATAATGGATAATTTAAGTTGTCAACACCTGTGGAATTACCACAGATTCAGTTAAGTTACTATTAATCCAAATAAAAGAAATAATCAATAAATTATGAAACTGAAATATTTGAATATAAACAGAATGTTTATATACCCATCTGGTTATGATTCCTTATCTCATTGAGAAAATGTCTGGATCAATAAAAATTTGAATAGCATTTTTTTTTTTTTTTTTTTTTCAGGTTCCTTTCTTTTTCCAGTAATGTTCATGCCCACTCTTAACCAATAATAATTCCCATGATTCTTGCTATATTGCTTAATACTTGATACTGTAGTTAGCCTTGAGCATTCTAGATTATTTTAAAATATCGCTTTGCTTTTGGTTGTATTTGGCAGCCTCTGAACTGCAGTAACCTATTTCTTGCTTTCAGGTAAGATCATTTTCCTGCTGCCATAGCAGGACATGATTACACAACTGTGAAATTCAAACATACCTATTCTTTGCGTGCAGTAGCAGGGCAAGCAAAGTTGCATACTGATAAGGGTTAAAACATTTTGCATTTATTTGGATGAAAATAAATTTTGTGCTTAATTGTTTTCTTTCAATTGCAGTGAGAAAGCTGCTTCATCTCCAGTGAGGCATCGGCGCATTACAGATCTTCCTATGCCACCTGTAGTAGATGACCCAGAGCCGGAATTGGAAGCAGAAAATGAAACTCAAGAGCCTGAACAGAAACCATCATCTCTTGATTTGGAAATGATGGAAATGAAGAACAGAATGGATTCTAACTGCTCATCTGCTCCAAAGCTAAAGAGGCCAAAGTAAGAGGCAATTTCAAATCATTTTTCTTGACCAATACTTAAAATGTAAATGAAACTTGAAATTGCTTTATCTTCACATAAGTAGTACTTGACATTTCTCACATTGACTACCTAGGAACATAGTTACTTTGCAATTTTTTCTGTTTTTCAAGCAATGCTGATAATGTTTACCTATTCTGTATATTCATGATTAGAATCAATAAAAAGAAACAATCTAGTTCGCACCAATCTAGCATTGACACTTATTTCCCAACACTATATTTTCATTAAAAAGATACTTGTAGGTTTTATATAGAGATGCAAAATAAAAAATAAGGTAAAGATCTCTAGTTGTCTGAATTTTTAAGAAAGAATAAATTTGCATTTATTTATCTAGTTATTGGCAAAATATTTCTAAATAGTTATCAAAAGTAGTCAACTTAATCTAGTTTGTATTAATTGCTTTTTTTTAAACATTTTGCTGGGAGATTAGAGAGCTCTTCAAAAAGCAGAGAACCCAATTCCAAAAGTCTATATAGAGAGAGATAGACACCCAATATTTCACTCTATATGACTTCAATTTGGAAAGTGCCTTATTGACCTCAAGCAGCATTTTAACCTTTTGATTGTTTACCAATTTTGCTCATCATACATGTTTCATAACATAGGTCGACTCTAGTTTGAGATGTGATCCAATACATCTGACCAGTAAGTCTTTTAAAGACCAGCTTTCTTTCATAGTAAATTCATTTTTTGTATTCTGGATATGGCAATAAACTACATCTAGCACAGGAGATTTTGAGGAGCATGGAACCACTTCTTAATTGATGTTCACAAGTCCATCTGATCCTGACCCTGGGGTGTTAGGGTTCCAACTATGTGCAAATAGTTACCAGCAATACATTTTAGTAAAAGAAATTATTATTGCACCCAAGAAAATTAAATTTCAGCATTAAATGACCCATAAGGAGTTGATATACTGCTAAACAAACAAACAAATCTTCATTTTTCATCAAACTCAAAGATCCTGAAATAGCAAAAGGTGGAATGCCATCAATATATGCATCTTGTGTAACCAGAATATTCTCTCAGTCCTGAGAAACATTTACACCTACATACTGAAATATTCAATCATGTGTAATGCCATCAATATATGCATCTTGTGCCATCAATATATGCATCTTGTGTAACCAGAATATTCTCTCAGTCCTGAGAAACATTTACACCTACATACTGAAATATTCAATCATGTGTAATGCCATCAATATATGCATCTTGTGTAACCAGAATATTCTCTCAGTCCCGAGAAACATTTACACCTACATACTGAAATATTCAATCATGTGTATTGACCAGAAATCTCTTAAGTTCCTCTGTGATTTCATTTGGGAAATGTTAATCAAAAAATCATCCACATGTGATGCTAACATCCCACTCAAATTCCCATTCCACCTAATGCCACAAGAAAAGTGCATCATTGTGTACACTGACAATGCTTGCCCCCTCTCCCCCTAGTGATATCTCTTGGTCTTTAGTCAGCATGAGAACTTGTTCAAGATATGGTAATTAATTCCAAAGTTCAATATTTTTCCTAATTAACATAATTTGGTTCTTTATCTCTGACAATATGCTCATTAATCCAGTTTCTATACAGAAAATACTTTCTTGACTGTTTTCATTGTATAATCAATACTTTGGTCTGTCTCCATTCATCCTAATTTCTCAACCTGAAGTTTACAAAAGAATTCCTTTTTGCTTTGAGATTATGGTCTTCATTATGTTCACTATAAACAAAGTTAGCACAAATACCTGTTCCTGTTGTAATACCTTTTGTACTGTTAGCTTCCTCATTTAAAACTAATTTTGTTGCAGATTTTCGAACAATTTAAAGATTATTGTCATCTGCAACTTTAAAATTTCTTGTTGTTGTATCTTGTATTTCTACTTACTTTCTTCCTGATCCATGCCCCTGTATCACAGTATGTTTCTTTACTTTCATAAGTTGACAGGTGTGAACTCTGTGATAGGCTTCTCCATGGCTCGCCAAAACAAACTGACCATTCTGCCCAAACACCACAGCAGGACTTGTCCAACATTTAAAATCTTTTCTTTAATAGTATATTCTGTCACCATTGAACTTGCACATGTGAATATGATTGTACTCTGCATATTAGTGTGTGTCTAATTTTCTCACTAGATTCTACAGTAATAAAATTTTATCAAGAGCTGTGTACATAACATTTATATCTTATGAAATTGGATTCTTCAATGCAGGAAGCTTGTCTTAGGAAACAGAAGGAAGGTTTAGAATATGACCAAACAAGTTGATTTGGACAAAAACCACCAAAATTCTGCAACAAATTCTTAGCACTCACTGCCTGTGCTAAAGCTACTTCTGGTTTATATATTTACTAAATAGTGATTCTGCAGCAGTTGTTAGTCTTTCCGTATTTAGCTTCTCATTCATTTTTCTATAATTTTTGCTTAAAAATGCGCCTCCCATTATCAAAGATAAAGAATTTACAAGGGGAATCAAAGCAAGCTATCCACATACAATAAATAATTTCCAAAATTTTTTTTTGTTTGTCTTTATGATGTTGAAGCATCAATCAAAGAAAGAATCCATGACTCATTGTGTACATTTTTTTTTTTTTTAAATTCAAACATACAAGTTGGCTAAATTTGTTTGTTGGCAGAAATCTAAATTTAAGGCATGTTACAAGAATAACAGTATTCTATTATCTTTAAAAATTCAGGATCATTAAAACTTTTACTTTCTTTTACCAATTTACAGTTTTTCCTTCATGGGCAAACTGTAACTTTAAATGCTATTTTCTTTTTCTCAGTAATTCTTAAATCTCTCACAGAAGATTTGTGCAAAACAAAAGATATCTTTTTATTATCATTAAGAAGCATGTGTAAATGGAATACATGGTTTACAAGGCTCAGAGGCTGACTGTTGCCTATTACCTTACTAGTTACATTGACATTAGCTCTGTTCCAATGTTACTGCAACTTTTCATTTGCTTTTAACTAGCAAGCTTATTTTCCTTATTTGTATAGCTTCTATATATAATTTCTATCATACTTCAATGCCATATTTTTTATTTAGCTATACTTTTAAAAAGCTGTACTAATCTAAAATTAAGTTGGTATTATAAGCAAAGTTCCATCTTTAATGAGCTCTGAATGAAAATATGAAACCAATTAACAAAGCTTAGTGGTGGTGAGGTGATATTGGCAGGTTGTTCAGCATGAACATTTTAGGCTTACATTATTTTTTTCCTTTTTGTAAGTAGTTTTTTAGCATTTTAATTTATAAATAGCTTATTTGCTGATAATTCAATAAAAGTTTAATTTTATTCAATTCTTTTGCAAATATGTAAAGCAGCCTAGCTAATGGTTTTTGAATTTTATGTTTGGGCTGGGCTGTTAAAGAGCTAAAATTTTGAAGACTATAAATTCTATATTTGCTGTTGATGTTAAAATTGTATCAATTGAAAATGCAGATTTGATTGTTGCCTGTCTATTCATCCGAGTTCTTTCCTACAAGATGACTTTTCCCCCAACCCTTTGTAGCATTTAAACCTTCTTTAAATATAAGAACGTGAAGGATCTAGTTATCAATTCAAATCATCTTGTGGCATTTCAATAGATGATTTTGAGTCTAGGTGCTCTCTTGTTTTAAAACATATTTAAAAGTATCTAATAAAACGTTTTTGTTTCCCCCTTTTCCCTTTATTAAATGTATCACATAAGCTTAAATATTAAAATAGAAATGTTGGTTTTTCCTGAAATAATTTCTATATTTGCATACACGAATTGATTTAATTATTTCAAAAATATTTTACAAAATATTTTTTTCTTTAGAATCTGTATGAATAGGCGATATAATGAAAGGAATAAAGGTGATTGGGGTGAGAGGTGTGTTGATGTATTCCGGAAAATTTGCCAGATTGGTGAAGGGACATATGGACAAGTATACAAAGCTGAGGATACATTTTCAGGTAAGACTTACTTTTTTGATTTCTGTCATTCAAGGCTGGTAGATTCTATTTTGGTCTTGCTTTTGAAACAAATTCTATTAAACTGTTTTACCATTTCTTTCTATATAAACAAATCATGAGTTACATTGTCATTTAGCAAACTAAATGTATTTTTCATAGCATTATTTTTTATTTAACATGTATCACTAATGTTCAGTTCAATTTTAGTTTTGTTAATCTTTCAATACAAAAACTGCAGGTGTCTTTCTATTTTAAAAAAAAAAATTTTTAGTTTTGTTTGACATTTTTTAACACAATATAAGTTAGTTGGACTAATCCAAGTGTATCCTCTTACATTATTGACTGAAAAGTGTCATAGTTTATAGATTTAAATCTGAATAACTTCATTTCTATTTTAGTTACTATGACTATTTAATTTTGTATTTCATAACATTTAAAAGGTTGCCGTTTATTACATGAAATAAAGAGCACTCTTTTCTGTTAATTTTTTTGTTTCTTTATTTCTCAGTATAGCATAGGCAAATTATATGATTTTGTTTTATGGCAAATAATCTTAAAATTACTTGTATCTTATTTCAGGTGAACTTGTTGCTTTGAAAAAGGTTCGATTGGAAAATGAAAAAGAAGGTTTTCCCATAACAGCTGTGCGGGAAATAAAAATTCTTCGGCAGTTGAACCATCCAAACATTGTGAATCTGAAAGAGATAGTCACTGACAAACAGGATGCCTTAGATTTTAGGAAAGATAAAGGTGAGTATTCTTCAGTTGTAACTGTGCATATAACATGTAATGCCATTTTACATTTCTACCAATTTCTGGTCAGCTCCCTTATATTGAAATGCTTGTTTTGCAAAAGATTCCATAACTACAATGGATAAATTTTAAAATACTTAGAGTGCATGTGCACATGCTATTAAAAATCACCATCACAATGGAATACAGATTTTATCACAGATAAAATAACTTTGTCTTTGTAATTTACCCCTGAAGATGATGGCTGTGCTAGCACAGTGTCACAAGTCATCATGACCGACGGTTTAAGCATGCTGGCCTTCTTCAGATTGTTGGTCATGCTAGATAACAGATTCTCTTCCAGAAACTGTAACTAAGGTCTGCTTAGCATAGTTGCAGTATAAACCACAGGTGGGTTCTGTGGATATTGAACAAACACAAATGTGTCCGAGTGGGTGTCTACAATAGGGATTGGCTAGCCGTCCCAGGTGGCCAGCTATTTTTATATATATATATATATATATATATATATATATATATATATATATATATATATATTCCCTAAACGATAGCACAGCACAAACTTCAGGTGCTGAGTATAACACTAGCTGTGTGTGTGTGTGTGTGTATATATATATATATATATGTATGTGTGTGTGTGTGAGAAACCATGTCTTATTGGTGAATACCCGTTTATTTTATGCCCTGCCATTACCTCAGATAAATAATGGACCCTTCCATTTTGATTGCGAAGAAAGATATATCAATGATGCTGTTTGATTTTAGTGACAAAAATAAAGTATACATAGTAAGAAAGAATTGGAAGATAGAGGAGGCAATATCACTCTCATGCCTCTTTTTCAGTGAAATTAAAAAAACCTTGTCTATTTTTTTTTTTTTTTTTTTTTTTTTTTTCCCCCATTTGTAAATCCTTACTTTCATTTATCCTTATTTAAAATTATTTGCAAGACAACACAACTCTGAAAATGATCTTTTTAAACAATTCAGTAATTTATAAAGTAAAAAAAAATTGCTGTAGGTATTGCAAGTTTTATCTAGCTACTCATTTTTGTTTTATTGTAGGTGCCTTTTACCTCGTATTTGAATATATGGATCATGATTTGATGGGGTTATTAGAGTCTGGACTGGTCCATTTTAATCAGGATCACATTGCATCTTTCACTAAGCAGCTTCTTGATGGCTTGAATTACTGCCACAAGAAAGACTTTTTACACAGAGACATTAAATGTTCCAACATTTTACTTAACAACAGGTAAGGTTTTTTTGAGTTCTTGTTATTAGCATAAAATAAGATTAAATTACCATGAGGCATTTCTTAGGGTAAAAGGGACATAAAACAAATAGTCCTGAATATGTTTAATGTTTTAGATTCTTCCTCAACTCGGCTACCATATATTTCCATGTATAAAATGACCTTTAAATCCCAAAAATCACCTTTTTGAAAATTGGGTGTCATCTTATACTACAATTTTAGGAAAAAGAAGCCTTAAATTCTGAATGATGTGTGTCAGTAGGCTGATCTTGATCTTTTGCAATAACAAATAATGTACATGAAAAGATTCACATTATCAAATAAACTGATAATGAAAGTAATAAAACCATTTCTACCTTATATATTACTGGCATAACTTCATAATAAATTGCCATTACTACAGCAGGCTGTTTGTAACTGTTTAGATACAGGAAAATGAGATGAATCTGTATTCGCAAGAGATTACATAATGAAATGTAAACCAAACAATGGTTTCACTTTTAGGGTGGCATATGTAGGGAAAACATATACTCATTTTTGTTATTTTGTTTTATTTTGAATTTCTAAGGATACAGTAAGTAATAACATTTCCAATAACATGATCTTTATATAATCAATAAGCAGTTGTCTTATATTAGAGGTATAGGATAAATTCATGAAAAATTGCTATATTTTTTGACCATGTCTTATCTAAAAGTTGCCTTATATGCAGAAATATATGGTAGTTCCTTTTTTTTTTTTCATCATCATATATCTCAGCAAATGAAGCTGACATCTTTTCATCTGTTAATAGACTAGAAGTAAAATTGAACCTAGCAAAAGTAAAGATATTTCTCTTGCTTTGAGTTCATAAAGAAGTAATCCTTTTTACATACACAAAAAAGACAGTTGTTACTACCATATTACATAGTATATTGACAGGCAAATTTGAAAACAATCACTTGTTTTTTATCTGCTTATATTATAGAAAAATGTAGTCCTGTATGAAAACAAGATGTTGATTTGGCAAGTTGTGTAATGTTTTCATGGAGCAAATTAAAACTGCCTTCTATAACTATTTTCTATATTTGGCTAGGTGAAAAGAATTTAATTCTATTTAGTTCACTTTGAAGAGTTAAACTTCAGAATTTGATATACAGTGACACAAATATGATTTTATTATATTTTTGTATTACCTATATTCAAAGTCTAAAGTTTCTGTATTGTCTTACAAATGTTAAAAAAACATTTAAAAGTTATGAGTAAAAAATTTAATAAAAAAAGAAAATGAACTGGGAATTTTGCATGTTTTAAATATAAACACCATTTATCATATAGATTTAATTTATGTACACAAGATTAGTGAATTTACAATTGTTCAAATAATAATTGTGTTTGTTTTACAAATATGAAATATTTAATATTTTAAGTATATGATATAATTGCTGGTGGTTGAGGGCTTTAGGAGTCTGGTTAGTTACATCTGATTCCCATCACACCACTTTGGTTCTTACTTAAACTAGACAGGCAGACAGAGAGACCCAATCTGATGAATTGGTTGGTCATGACAAGCCCTAGCACCTATAAGTATATCAATTTTATGGAGTACTTTATAACTAAATACAATACCCCAAATTTAAAATCTCTGTCTAATTTATAGGCATTAGAAGGTGATGGCTTAGGCTTAATTGGTTTGAAGTGATTTAGACTTAGACATGGCTGTGAACATGTCGGTTTGTACACCTATTTGGGAAGTGCAACAAATGGTTTAATGGATACTCTGAGTCTCTCTCGAATATGAGTATACTGGTTTATGCAGCCCTGGCCTATCAAAGTGATTTTGTTTTCAAAATAAAAAAAAAAAAAAGAAAAAAGAAATGTCTTTCAGAAAATTCTGAAAAAGAAATTAATACAGAATGTCCAAGATTTTTTTGTACTCGTGTTCCTAGAAGAAACTCCAATGGCAAAACTTTGCCCATTCTTGCTTGAAAAGGTACTATTTTGTAGGAGTAATCCTAAAACAGAAAGTTGAGAGATAGCAATTTGCTGGTCCAGGTGGAACATAGGAAACATGCACAAAATATAATAAAGATGAAGACGTTTCATAATATCAAAATTAAAATGTTCCTTCATACAAGACTGACTACTTCTTAGGGAGTCATTAAAAGTAAAGAGTTGCCTCTGGCCACAGCTGAGGAAATTACATCTGCCTTAGGAAGTCAAGGGGTCATCAATTACCATAGATTCTCAATTAAAAGCAGAAACTATAATAACTGACATTTATATCCTTACTTTTGGCACACCTAACACCCCCTCCCCCCCAAAAAAAAATAAATAAAAATAGTGTATAACATTGAGCCAATGAAACAAATCTCCACTAAGATACTTTAGGTGCCAAAAATTTAGACCTCCTGGGTAAGCTGTAGGAGTCACCCAATATATGGAAAATGTGGCCAAAGGTATTTGGGTCATACTGAGGAAGAATGCCACAATGAAATGAGACATGCTAACTGCCAGGAAAGACATCCAGCATACTCAAGAACATGTGATTTCTGGAAAAAGGAAAGGGAAATTGCCGACATAAAATATAAAAGAAACGTCTCATTTTCAGAAGCAAGGGAAGTGGTAGAAGATTACATGAAGATCCTTCCTACGCAAAATTATGGAAAATAAGACTAAAAATAATGCCAGTCAGCCTGACAGAGCCGTACACTTGGGACCAAATGATTGGCCCAAATTTCAAACGTACCTAAAATGTCTATATTCCAAGGAAATGGTGCAAGCTGGACCACAAAAGGAGGACTATGAAAAAACTGAAATAATAAAAAACAAATAGCAAAATGACAGCTCAAACACAAACCACTCCTACCAAAAATACTGCATCTCCTACTAAACTGTTGTAGAGTAATTTTCACAGTGGAGGCTTGTATTTCACTAAATCGGTCCTAAATTAGGTTTGACGTACAAAACGTTAGGAACTTGAAATAATAGTTAATGACGCAGCAATCTAGTTGTGGTGGTTCATACCTTAATGTCCGACATTGACTGACAGACCAACTCCACTGAGCTCCACTGCTACTACTACTTATCTGTGGGAGAGTCTATTTACAATAGAATAGGTATGATCTAGTATAACATACACAAAGGTCACAACGAACTCCTATCCATCCACCAAAAAAGACAGACTGAAAATCTTATCTCCCAAAAGAACAGAATCAGCCAAACAAAAACTGGAAATCCACAATGACCAAGTTCCTACACAAAACCGATTTGACGAACAAGAAAAGATGGAGGTGGAAAGTCAGAACCCTCAAATGGCTAAAACCTCCAAAATGAAAACCCAGGAAAAAGAAATCAAAATCACATAAGCTAAAGGCCAAAAACATTTAAACAGCCATGCATAAGATATTCAATGGAACTGCCATGGAATAAAGGCAAATATAAATGACCTGCCTATGTTAATTAACAGACTTGGCAGTTGTTTGCCTTCAGGAAACATTGCTTAAGCAAAGTGACAGTGAATATAAAAGAATAACAGCAAAACAACCATACAAATGACACTAACCTAGCAGACATTGGTTCAATGATGAGTGTAAGGAAGAAGGAGAACTTTGAGATATTTCAGCAAACAGCCTTCAACCTCTAATTTGTTACAATTTAAGCAACATTGTGCAAAAGCATGGAAAATAATTAAAGAAAGCACAAAAGAATGTTGGCGGGGGGAAAGAATGTTAGGTCAGTAGACTTAATTCAACCACAAAAACAAAATCTCTATGGGATATAATGTGAAAAATAGCTGGTAAATATCATTCTGACACTATAAAACATCTAACTTTAAAATAAAAGGCTATTGTTGATCAATTAGACAAAACAATCTTCAAAAACTCATCTACTTAGAATGGTAGCCAAGAATTTCCAAAGCTCAAGCAAAAAGCAGAAAAACAAAAATTAAACTTTAAATCAAATAACACAGTGTTATAACCTGCCATTCACTATAGAGAAACTAAATGAATCTTTAAAGAAAGTCCACAATACAACTGTGGAACCAGATATCCATGATCAATTCATAAAACAGTTGCCCAATAAATCATTATAACGGTTACTAAAATTGTATAACAACATATGGACAAGTGGCAACTTCCCAGATATGGGAAGACAGTCATTCATCATCCCTATTCCAACACCTGGAAAGAATGACACAGACCCTGAAAGATACAGGCTGATAGCGCTAACAAGCTGCCGATATGAAACTTTGGAGAGAATGGTCAACAGGTTGACTTGATACCTGGAAACTAATGGCCTAATCAGTGACTACCAATGGGTTTTTCAGATAAAAAGAAGTCCCATGGATCATTTAGTACATCTCAAAACCTTTGTAAGAGAAGCCTTCATTAAGAATGAACATCTCACAGCAGTATTTTTTGGCTTAAAAAAAAAGCATACGATACAACACGGAAATTTGTTATCTTGAAAGATCTGCATGAACTGGGTCTAAAAGGAAGACTGATTCAATTCATAGGGAAAAACTGAAAAACTGGAGGTTTCAAGTACATATAGGAAGTACACTGTCAACTGCAAAATCAAGAAGGGGTTCCACAAGGAAGCATTCTTTTGGTGACGCTTTTTTGCATAATAATTAACTCCATAGTTAAAACCCCAAGCTCTCTATACATTGATAATTTTCTAATTATGTACAGATCTCGACATATGAATACCATTGAAAGACAACTACAACCATGTCTCGATAAAATACTCAAATGGGCCACTGAAAATGGGTTCACATTTTCCAAAACAAAAACCAAATGCCCACATTTCTGCAAATTAGAAAAAAAATTGTACAATGATACATTAGGTGCAGCAGACTCCCAGTACTCAGTTTTTAGGCATGATAAAAAAAAATTAACATTCATTTCCCATTTAAAATATCTGAAAAAGAAATGTAGCAAAGTCCTACAACTCCTGCGTGTAGTGGCACATACTGAATGGGGAGCAGATTGACTAACCATTAATCAAATTATACAGCTCACTACTTTGCTCAAAACTGGGTTATACTAATTTCATATATGGGGCAGCAAGAAAGTCGTACCTAAAAATTCTCAAATGAACCTATCAAGACCTCAGATTAGTACCTTGGGCTTTTAGAACATCACTAGTGGAGAGTCTATATACACCTGCACATTTAAGGCACATTAAACTGGCACTACAGTAATATGCAAAAATAAAATTATGCCCTACTAACCCAACTTAGAGCAGTACCTTTGAACCAAATTACTGTGATCTATTCCAAAAAAAGATAATGCTATACAACCCTATGGACTCAGGATGAAATCCATTACTGAAGAGTTAGGCACCACATTCTCAAATATACAAGAAATGACTGCAACCAGTATTCCACCATGGACTATCAAGCAACCCAAAGTTCTAGAATTACATAATCTCCCAAAACAAAAAACACACCTATTCACGTTTCAGGATAAGTTTCAGAACATATTGGCAAACTTCCCCAACCATACACCTATCTATACAGACGGGTCAAAATGTGAAGACAAGATAGGATGTGTAGCAGTGAGCCAAAATATTACCAAAAAAGTGCTCTCCAAAGGGAAGTTTTATTTTTACTGCAGAGTCTTTTGCAATCAAGCTAGCTCTTAATATTATTATCTCAGAGAGCAGACGAAAGGAATTTTCTAATTTTTTCAGATTTGTAATCCACTTATGAAAATAATATGCAAAATGGGAACTATTAACAAAAGCATAAAGACCTCAAACTATGCTGGATTCTTAACCACATCAGAGTTAAAGGTAATAATGAAGCAGATCCAACAGCCAAGTTGGCTTTAGATGTGAATGTGGATACAAGGACCAAAATCTCATACACAGATTTTATGGTTTTTAATAAATACATTCAAAAGGAATGGTAACGTACCTGGACAATAACCTACACTATAAATTCTTTGCAGTTCAGCCCAAACTATGAGAATGGAATTCGACTCCCAGAAAATATCATAAGGAAGAAATGGTACTTGTCTTCGTATGCATTGGCCATAGTAGAATAACCCACTCGTACTTACTAAACAGATCAACCAGTATGCCAAGCATGTAAAACTGCATATACTATATATATATATATATATATATACACACTGAGTGCTCAGATTATGCTCTCTAAAGGCAAAAATACTATAATATAAACAATATGTATGGGCTGTTCAAGCAAGTAAAAGTGGATGATATAACATTTTTTCAAAACAGTAGAACTCTACCAAAAATTATAAATCAAATGAGAATGTAAAAATCAATTTTTCTATAAATCATGTACCTGAAAGAATACATCAGTGAAACCAGACTCTTAACAACAACCCTCTTTACAAAAGTACATCAATGAAACCAGATCTACAAACTGTTTCCTTACAAAGAATATATATTCTATTCATATGAATCTATTGCAAAAAATCTTGTTGGCATTAAATAACCCATTGAGGTTGATATGCTGTAAAACAAACCAAACCATAATAGTTATATTGCTGTTTTACTGGATAATTCATAACTTGTAATGAGGTGATTGTTAAAATAAATTTATATTAAATTTTTTGTTCACTTTTAAATATTTTTCATGAGATTTTTATCTCTGGTTGATATAGAATAACTTTTAATTTTACCAATTAAGATCTTTAATAGCTGTATTGAACAAAATAGGAATATTAAGTAATTCTAACAAGTTTACTTCATTAATCTTATTTCTAAATATTTGTTTACAGTGAGGTTAATAGCCTATTCCCCCAAATTCCAAATATTTTCATGTAATGTATTGCTTCATAGCACTAAACTTTGTCTTTTTTTTTTTTTTTTTCATCAAGGGGCCAAATTAAACTAGCTGATTTTGGTTTGGCTCGGTATTATGAACCAGAAGACAGAGATAGGTTATATACAAACAAAGTCATAACACTTTGGTACCGTCCACCAGAGCTGCTCTTAGGTGAGGAGCGTTATGGGCCGGCTATAGATGTATGGAGTTGTGGGTAAGTAACTTTTTGAAGGTGAAGAAATTTTTTGTATTTGTGCTTGTTACACCTTTTATTTTTAAAGAAATTGTGGTTAGTAATATTTAGCCTAGATGATTGATGTGCTTTTCAATCTTTTTCTTCTTCTAGAAAACAACAATATATATCATAAGCCAGCTCATTTTGCTTGTTTATCCACCCCTCCTATGCTCTCTCTTTTTGGGGGGGGGGGTGAAAAAGCACTTGCAAAATAAAATTTAATAAGTTAATTTTATTGAATAAAAATTTAAGTTGGTTTCATTGAAGAATAAATGTAATTCAAGTAAGTGCATACAGGTGTTTTTTGTCATTTTATGTTTCTATATTGCATGAGAATTCACCTGACAGCAAGAAAGTTTCCAGGCACTAACTCTAAGCATCAACCTTAAGAACTAGTGAAAAATGATGTCTATCTTTTTAAATTTTATATATACCATTAAACATCTTCCAATGAAATGCTGAACATGTTACAGGTCATTTACCAATACTCTCTATCAAGATGTTAACTACGGTTACCTTATGCAAAAGTTGATTTTGGCTGGCACAATAATGCTTATAGAAATAATATTTTTACATAAAATAATTTTTATAAATGATTGATTCTAATAACTGTTTTCTTCCATATTCTGTGATTTATTTCAGTTATCGTAGCACATTGATATTCAATAACATTGACTACTCTTAGAGAAAATAGTAATGATCAATGTATTGCTTTGGATTAAGCTGTATGAAGTATCTTACCACATTATACTTAGCAAAGCTAGATTATTACAAGAAATCTGTTGCCAACAAAATGCTTATTTGTATTTCTGGTTAACAAGCATCAAAGAAAAAGAAAATAAATACAAAAAAGAAAACGTAGGAAATTGATTTAAAAACAATGACAAGAAAACATTTATTTAAGCTGATACTTTAATCACAAAAAGAATCTGACTCCAGAATCATTCAGTTAGTTAACAGATTTTCATAGAATGAACATCAAATGTCTCTTTCACAATGTTTTCAATGTTGATTCAATTGAGAGTTCTAATTTTGCAGCTCGTCATTTCAGTTGGAGAAACCAAGGATTTTATTTCATATTTGAATACATACATGGTTAATATATCCAAAGTCTGTTTCATTCATAGAATCTCTTTTTTTTAGTAACCACCATGTATCTATTGTGTTATTTTTATGTATTCATTCATTTTAATCTCTAAATGTTTGGATGTGAACATTGTCACATTAGTAGTTTTCCCACTGATTGCTGATAAGTACATTTTTTATATTTGTTTGTGCATGCTCATTTTTTTGTAGATTGATATTTTCATTTTTATCTGGTTTGCTAATTCTAATGTTTTCTTTTCTTCTTTAGCTGTATTCTTGGAGAATTATTTACTAAGAAGCCTATCTTCCAAGCAAATACAGAAATAACACAGTTGGAACTCATAAGTCGAACTTGTGGCTGTCCTTGCCCGGCTGTTTGGCCAGATGTTATCAAATTACCTCTATTTCATTCAGTCAAACCTAAGAAACAGTATCGGAGGCGACTTAGAGAAGAATTTTCTTTGTAAGCATGTTACCATGACTTATTGATCTCAATACACTTGTTATTCAAGCACAACAATTTGTATCAGATTTATTTATTTTTCCATAAATATTTTAAATAAATGATTCACTTGGAATGGGGTAAGGATAAATATTCACTACATTGAATGTTTCATTCACTTACATGTTTTTATTGTGAACAAATTAAAAGTAGTGTGTGTTTGTGACAGCTACCAACTTGATGTGGAGTATGACCATCATTAGACATCATTATAGTGAGGTCACCCTGAGTGCTACTGTTACTATGTAACCAAGTGCTACCTACTGTACGGTTGGGTTATCGCTTGCTAAACTGATTCCTTCATCAGATTTTTTCTGGTAAGGAGAGTGGCTAGACATACAACAGGATTAAAAACAGGACCTGACAAAGGGCAGATACAGTGTGTGATGGATAAATTGTCTAAATTATGCAAAAATGAAAATAACACTGACATCTCATTTTAACAGATATATTTACCAAATTTACACAAAAATATCTTGAAATACTAAAGAGTAAATTCAATCAATAAAATTGCCATTGGCTTCAACCATGGCCTCCCAGATGACTTCAGAATTTCCTGCAACTCTTCTGTATGGTCTCTTTAAGTTGGTGAATGCTGCCATAATCCTTGCCTTCAGTTCATTTTTGGGTTTTACAAGGAGTTTTGTTGGTCTCGATCAAGTGAGTTGCAGCCTTGGGAGTTGGCCAGATGTAAGGGGTGATGTGATAGCAGAAATTGTCTGACAGTCATGACTGCAGCCTCCTGCTTATGTGGCATGGTGCAGAGTCCTCTTGCCAAACACAGGGTCTTCCAGCAGCCACCCTGTTGACCCAGGGCAGCACTACTTCCTGAAGGCACTTGAAGAAGGTCTCTGTGTTGAGTCTGGGGCACTGTGGGAAGATGAATGGAGGCATAATGTCAGCATCCCTAGGGATCACTCCAAACAACATGATGTTGACTGTATATTTGGTTTTCATTATTCTCTGTACATCTTTTGAGGACTGCACTGATTGACGCCCAAAACACTCTGAAATGTTCATATTGGAGCTTCCAACACAAATGCCAAGCAGTACAGCATGCTGTTTCCAAATTCCTGGCTGAGAGAATTGCATTCTGGTACTCTTTTTCTCACAGTCAGTACCCAACTGATACTGTGCAATCAACAAAATCAAAAACAAATAACGTGCATATGTGTGAAATAAAAACAAAAAATAAAATGGCGACAATTTACCCATCGCACCCTGTATAAGAATTTTTTATTTTTTTTTTTATAGGAGAGTGGGGTTTTTATACATTGGTCTGATTAACTCTTGCCAATTTTTTCAAAATTGGTTGTATTCAGGAAATTTTTTGTGTGAATTAATATTTAAAGCCAATTTTTACATCTTACTTGTGGCATTTTATCACACTTTTTTTTTTTTTTTTTTTTTTTGTGTAAATCTTTGAATTTTACTATTTTATTTAGATTATCATTTTACTATTAATTAATGTTTTTACTACTTTACTCATTAGTTGCCAGATAAAAAAAAGTATTTGATAGTAACAATGTTTTTTTTTTTTTTTTTATCATCAGCATATAATACACTGGCACACACTGACTCCTTTATGGATTGATGTAATAAAGAATTGTATGAGAATTTGCTGGTATATCATGGATAAATAATTTTGATTAAAAAGAATGAAATCCTAATAACTTAAAACATGACAAATTCAAAGATTTCTTAGGAAAATTTGTAGTGAGACAATTTATAAATACTTAATTTTTGTCTATGTATATGAATATTGAGGATTTTAAAACATCAAGGTATATTTTGTTTCTAGTTAAGAAATAATTTTTATTTTTTCTATTTCAGTTTGCCGAAACCAGCGTTAGATTTACTGGATCGCATGCTTGAATTGGATCCTAGCCGTCGTTGCAGTGCAGAGCAAGCTCTAGAATCAGCTTGGTTAAAAGATATTGATCCAGCTCAGATTACTCCTCCCGAGTATGACTTTTCTTTTTTATCTACAGTTTTATTCAGTGCTAAAATTTTGATTCTCCCTGTCTGACAACTACTGTTTTTAATGTTAACTTTGCAACTTGTAGCAGTGATGGTAGTTAAAAGGAAGATAATGAATTATCATTTTAGTAATCTGAATTTTGTTTTGGAGATTTTTCTCTCTCTCTGGTGGTAAAAAAAATGGAGAAATAAGTTGTTTCTTTTGTCAACTTTATTGAAACAGTATCTAAAAACAAATTTCCAAATATAAATGGTGGCAATAAGTTCATGAAAGTCTGCTTAGTAATGTTTACCTTACTAAAATTGTCCATCTCAATTGCATGAAAAGATGGAGTGCTTTGATACTTATTTAAAATTCATTATACAGTTAATTGGTCAATTAATATGCATTTTGGCCATATACAAGTAGATATTTGCAAATAGAAGTGTATAAAGGAATTATTGGAGAATTTCTGTCAAGTTTAACAGGTATGTCTTTTATGTGCATACCAAAAGAAAGGATTGTTCTGATTGTACATTATACTACGAATCAAATTTTAGACTTCCATTTTAAAAATTAATAATTTCATCATAATTTATGATAAAAGTATGGTTAATTTTTAAAGTAGAATTCTTTAAAATTTGATCTACATATATTTTCTATATCTAGAAAAGTTTTTAGGGTTATTAATAACAAATTGAAAACTAGTAAATTTCCATATAAAAGACAATGATTTCTTTAACTTTTATTAGATAAAGCATTGTAAGCCAATATATTTTGATTAGTATTTCTATCTTAATTTCAGTTGCTTTTTCATTACAATTATTCAGATAGATTAGATACAAATTTGAGTCTCAACTAAAACTTATTCTTTAATCCCAATCCACACTATTAATGATCATATGCCAAAAATAAGACTTCAACATTTAAAATATGGATTACTTGTAATTGCATGCAAGAGTCACAGTATAAATAATTATTGACTGATTTTATTATTGTAATATTTTTGCATTCTATCAAGTATTAAGAATATAGTAACTAGAGTCCACAAATTTGAAAAGAGGGTTATCAATGATAATGTTCTTACTTCAAATGACTTGTCTCCCTTTAACTATCTCTCTCTGTTTTGTTTTGTTTTTGTTTTTTTTTTTAATGTAGTTTTTATCACAAAATTTGGTGAGGCAAGAGCAAATTTTAATTCCGAAAAATCATTGTGGAACTTTATTAGGTTGGCTAAAAATTTTCCAAACCAACAAATTTTTAGAAGATAGAAACAATTCAAATGTTTTCCATGTAGTGTGGGCGTGGGTGATTTTTAGCTTTCAACATTATTAATTTTACTCTCATCACAATGTCAGAAAGATTGATTTCTTGTAAGTAGTTGAGAACATGTCTCCTGTATGATTTCATAGTGAGCCTCAGTTCAGCTGAATGAATGTCTTGAATCAATCAGGCTTTGAAGAAGGAACTCTTAGCTACACAAACAACTTAGGAGTGGTTCATTATGTTCCAGTGTAGCAAATTTGAAATGTTGAATGTTTAGAAACAGACAGCTATTGAAACTGAATTGGGATGAACTGCACTAAGTTATGTCAGTCAATCTTCTACTGACCAGCCAGGAAATGGTGAAGACATTTCCTTGCACTGATTTTATCATCTGAAGCTGAATAGCAACCAAAATTGCCACTTGATCAGATGCACTTCTCTAGGAAGTGTACATGACTGAACTACAATGGCAAGTGATAAAAAGGAATGACAATGCACAACTGATGAACAAAAAAGTATTACTATCATTATCACAACAAAACCAGAATTACAGTGGAAATTAGTTAGTGGTGGGACATGAGATATATTTACATCATATTTGTACTATTGTCCTCATCTCTGTTGTCATCACAATGTTTTGCCTAATGTGCTTTCCAGCCTTCCACAGACGGACATTGATCTAGATAACCTACGGGGAATTCTGAACCCTTTATTTAATGTACAGGGGTAGACTATTCTCATTCCACTGCTTCATGTCTAGGGGTATTGTCTAGTTCTTATTTTATTTAGTACTGCTCAGTTATTGCTTGCTCGTTTCCACTGAGTGTAAATACACATTGCCTGACCCAGTGATTAAACTCAAAATCACTAACAGAATTTCAGATAATTGTGAAATATTGTTTACTGGAACTGCTTGATCCAAATAAAACCAAATGTGTTGAAAACATCTACAAAATGTAATCATCAAAAGTTGTCCAGTTGCAAAAAAAAAAAAATAATGTTGCATGAGAATTATAAATTCCATATAGGCTAAGAAGTTCTTCCACGCCCATTTTACTCAGAACTTTTCTCCTCACAGGAATCTATTATTTGTCTATATGTTGGTAAAAACTAAGTTAACTTAATTTGCATTTTTTTGAAGTTTTAAAAAATACAATATTTAGAAACTTTCCTACAAATATACTTATGAAAATATTAGATCCTAAAGTTTTGAAAATTGTTATTTTTGTTGTAGATTTCCACGGGACCAAGATTGCCACGAAATGTGGATTAAGAATCGGAAACGAAGTTTGCGGGAAGCAATGAAACGTGAGCAAGAACAGGGACACCATCCAAATATTCCACCCAAAGGTAATCCTCCACCTATTGGGGCTTCTAAAGGTCGAATGGCTAGTACCAGCAGCAGTGGTGGGAGTAGTGAGAATCCCAAATCTTACTCACATATGTCAAGAGACAGCACTGGCCATGGAATAAATATGGAAAAATCCAAGAGTGAAGAGCAGTCTATTAATAGTCAGAACTCTGACTCAAAAGATGCTTGGATGTCAGTAAGGAATAAGGATTCTTCTGTTGTGGGCATGGACCCTGCTGAAGGCAAAGATGATGTAACAGGCTCTTCTTCAACAGATTCAGAATGCAAGTCGAAGTTAGCAGGCTCTCCAAACCCACAACAATTGCAGGCCATAATCCAGATGCTTAAATCCAGCCAGAGTGGGTTAAGTGTGGAAGATCTGGCTAAAAAACTTAATGTTCGCTGTGATGAAACAACAATCAAGCTTTTGGAGAACCTGAATAAACAGCTTCAGGCTGGTGGAAATCCACCAAAGACAGAATCCCTAAGTCAGTCTGCAACTCCACAAACCCCTAAAACTCCTAAAAGCCCACCCCCTGGTTTCCCAGGTTTGGACAGACATGCAAGTAGTCAGTATCGACTGGGTAACTTTGCTCAGAGAACTTTAGAAAATTCCCAGGCTTTAGAGTCAAAAGACGATATTAACCATGGTGGTGGTGGTAGTAGTGGTGGTGGTGGTGGTAGTAGTAGCAATGGTGGTATTGGATCTTTGGATGAAAATGGAATGAAAGATAATTCAAACAAAATGCTTGTACAACAGGGAGTTGGGATGTCTGCGAGTGGAGTGAAATTTGACAACACATCTATGCCTTCTGAGGGATATCCAAGGAATGCAAACAATTTGGAGACAGTTTACCACAACCGATCCAGATTACAGGATTATACAGAGGCTCCAGTTTTAACACCTGTTCATCAAGAAAAGACTTCATCTTTGATGGATACTGGATCTACTGGCAGCAGTATTGTAACCTCACAGGCTATCCTAGATAGTTTGGCCACTGATGTTTTAGTTTCAGGTAAACCTAGCTTTGGATCAACACAGACTGTTCCTTCAGGGGTGGAATTTGAACAAAAGCCCAACCAATTTCCTTCACCTACTGCGCAGAACCCTCCAGTCTTCTCTGAAGAGATAAGATTTCCATCTTTGGGACATATTCCGCTTAACCGGCCCCCACCAAGTAGTGCTATACCTAGCACTAATACAAATCTTTCTGTTGGCGCCGCAGCAGCAGCTGTACCTGTTGCTGGCAGTGATGGGGCAGTGTCATTACGAGCAAAAGTACAAAGTTATTTTGACACCTATGGACAAGATGATTCCTTACACCCTCGTCCTAACCAGCCCCCATTTGGAATGGTGGGAACTCCACACAGTGGTGGTGCTAGTGGCAGTGGCATGGGCCGAAGAAACTATCATGGATCAGGTCTTCCTGGGCCACTTACTGGACCTCCACCTCGACCACCTGGTCACAGATCCAACATGCCACCTGGGGTTAGCAACCCCTCACCAGCTATGCCACCGCACACTGTTGCTAGCAACATGGGTGCAAATGTTGGTGGTGGGATGTACCAGACAGGCCACATGGGTTGGTAGTCACAGACACATTTTACTTCCATGATTTACAAAAGTGGAAGGTTAAAAAAAAAAAAAAAAAGAAGAAAAAGACAAAAATATCTTTATGATTTTTTTTTTTTTTTTATTATTATTTTTTTTCTTCGGTTATTTTCTCTCTTCACTTTCATTGTCATTTTTTCATTCATTCATTTTTTTTTTTTTTTCTTCTTCCACAATCCCTCCCTTCCCAATGCATCCTAAATAAATGACCATTTTCATTTCTTGTGATAAATAATTATAAGAAGTGCTTTATTTTATTTTTTTTTTATACAATACACAATTTTTAGTTCATAAACATATTTATCAATTTTTACCTGGAAAAAATAATTTTTTCTTTCTTAATCCCTAAAACTTCTTGCCAGATTTTGTAGAAAAGATGTAAAAATAAATTTGATAATCCACTAAGAAAAATAAGAACAATTTTAGCTTGAAAAACAAGGAATTGTTTCTTGAAAGTATGTATGTGTGGTTGCTTTCTTACCAATCCAAGAATAATGATTAACATAAAATATTTATTGTCAGATATTGCTGACCTCACTAGACATCCTCATATTTTATAGACATCTTCATTTGGTATTACTTTCTCTTGATTTCAGCTTTGTTCCACATCATTGTGTTTGGTAAGGTTCTTTTTCCTCTTGCTTCACTGAAGACATTCTTCATTGTTTTTTTCTTTTATTCTTTTCATTCAGTTATATTTTATCTCTCCATATTATGCTATCCAAGCATGTATTCGTTTTTCAAACATTCCTTTATTTTGTGAAACATGATTGTTAGCATCATGTATTAGTCCAGTGTCCTTTTATGTAAATTCTGTTGGTACCTTGTTATATCAATTGCCAAATCTCATTTTAGTATTTAATTATTTTTGTTTCTTTACTCAGTGTATTTTTGAAGTACTTTCAATTACTTGATCATCTCTGTAATAAGATGATCTGTTAAGATTTACAGGCTAGCAGCATCTCTCTTCTTTATAAGTTGACTTAAGTATATTACAGCAACACTTACCATTATCTAGTGTTTAAGTCAGAAAAATTGAATTTGCTTTTTATTTGACAACTGGACATAAACTTCTTAATTCTTCATATGAATTAAGATGAAATAATTTTATCAGATCTTTAAATAGTCTAAGGTATTTGCATTATGGACTTAAAAAAATTAATGGTCTGCTTCAATTTGTGGTGTTGTTGCTGTAATCATATTGTGCATTGATTTTTATGGTTACTAAAATAATAAAAATTAAAGTAAGGTATATAAGCCAAACCAGTTCTTGTGATATATTATGAATATTAGAAGCCATTAGGAAAATGAAATTAGAATTTTAAAAAAAAGATAAAAAGAAAGAAATTGAGAACACCCCCTCTCACATTTGGTAAAAGGAAATGAGCTACAAGCAGATTTGCATCATCCCATGTAAGTAAATAAAATTAGCTTTAATTTTTACACTTTATAGTACTCAATATTTTTTTTTTAGTTATCAATGTTTTTATAACTTTAATCTTAAATGGATTATTTTTGCACACTTTTGGATATTTAGGATTTTATTAACTTAATGGAAATACATAGTATTTTTTTTCCTTAGGTGCTTTCTTCATCAACAGCATCCTGTTTAACATAATCATTACTACTTAATATTTAGCCTATATATTTGACACAAACTTTAAATTCAGTTAAGCACTTTCATCATTTCTTATGAATATGTTGTGAATATATTTAATTTCTATATAACTGAAGTTTCACCTATCTTTTACATGGAAATCATATTGTGACAATTAGGCTGAGCTTATTTTCTTAATTTTTAAATATTGATTCTATCTTAAGATAAAAATCAAATAAATTTCATTAGCAACTCCCAGAGATTTGACAACCAAATGTTATCTAATATAGATGTTTTTGTAAGCTTTCTGTTAAAGAAAATAATATGTTTATAGATAAAATCTGCTATCAGGATAGAACAGAATGTCCATTTTGAACCTCAAATTTTAAAACCTAGCTTAGCTCAAACAACTTTTAGTCAAGGTAAACACCCTACTGTTGCTAATGATCCAGTAGTGAATCGTTATGGGAGTTGATTAATTGCTTGAAGGCATTTTCGACCTGGCTCACATATGCAGCTACGGTCTGAAAAAGGTTTTGATAGTTTTTGAAATATGGTGTCTTATTCTACAGTAAGGCAGGTTATCATCATTGCTGGTCAAACTATTTGCAACCTTTGATGTATTAGTTTCAGATCTTGATATTTGTACTTTATGATGATCTGGTCAGGTTTCAAGATGCTATAATGCTATTACAGCACCAGAAAATAGTCAGACTGATCTATTGGGAGGTGACAATTTTGGTTTTGGTAAGGTTGAAGGAGGAGCTGGTTTGATGATCAAAAATAAGCTACATTTCATCAACAAGTTAGTACACTCTAATGAAAAGGATTTTTTTTTTTTTTAAACAGACAAATTGCAACACCAAGCCATGCAAGCTGCTGATTATCAGTAAATCATGGTGTGTGCATTTTTGCTAATTTGTGCAAGATAACTTCTGATTGTGTTCTAGGAACCCAAGCTTTTCTCCCAGTACCTCTACAGCTCTTCAATTCTTCAATGTTGAGTGATTCCTTGCAACCATGACCAAACTCGTCTTCAAGGTCCAGATCATCAAAAGCAAATTTTTGGAAACAAAGATGTTATGGTCCATTCTGAAATTGACACCAGCTACAAAGTACTGTCAATGTTAGTGATGGCTTTGGTAACCAATGACTGAGTTTGAACTCAGAATATAACTTAAAAATTGCATTTATTCATCTTTTCTTCAATAACCTATAAAAAAAATAAAAATAATTCAAATATCCAAAAGAGATGATGTAACTTTAAAATGACACAGAAGTATGCATAAGCAGAAGAGAACTATGCAAAAGAGAATTATTAAAAAGCAAAAGCTGCCATTTATTTTGTTCCAGCCTAATATCTAAAAAAAAAAAAAAAATTTATGTAAGAACTGATAAAAAAAAAATATTAAAATAATTTAATAAAATTTCAAAGCCTGATTACTCTGATAGCTTTTTTTGTATTTGTAGCAATCTTTCTATTTCTTTAAATTTGATGTTCAGTTTTTAGTCTTGTAGATCATTTTAATCATTAAGACTAACATGAGGAAAAGAAAATATGAATTTTTTTTTTCCTTTTTACTTCAATTTTTTTCATCTCTGGAAATTGGTTATTTATTTTTTTTCTTGTATGAATTACTTTGATTTATTTTTATTTAATTATATTTCTTGATAAGATCCATAAATTTAAAAACTTTTTTTCCTATCCATCATCCATCCATAGCTTTGTTCTCCTTGTAGGTTTATGACACATGACATTTTTCTTCTATTTATTATTTCTCTTATGTATTTTAATAGCATGTCTCGACTGAACACTAATATATTTTTTATGTATGATGAATCTAAAGAGTTCTTATTCTTGGATTGGTGCCATTGTCCAGGATCAGAAGAAAACAGTGTGGGTATGCATAAATGTACACCTTTTGATATATGTAGTTTTTGTATGTGTGTATATCTATCTGTTAACAATAATTCTTATATATATATATATATATATATATATATATATATATAAAGTACAGTCAACACAGGAGTGATGGAAACTAATATTGCAAATTGATACTTGATTTTTTTTTTTTTTTTTTATGTTTTGTATCTTAGACTTTTGAGTTGTTTTTAAAAGTAAATGACTAAAAGGGATGTTGATAGTGCAATAAAACAATCATTTTTTATCATATGCATTTTTAGTTAAAACAATTTTAAATAAAATATATCACAAAAAAAATAAAGATCTAGATGTGTGGCCTCAATAGATGTTAAACTTATCCAGTTTTGAATTATGAAAGACATTGTCCATTTAAACTATTGATAGTGATTAAGATTCAGGATTTATGCAAAACAAAATGATGTAATTTCTTTTATAATTTGTAAATTTTTGTAAATTAAATGCTTACCTGCTATTTAGTTATTGTTTTAAGTTCGAATCTCTTTTTCTTTTCTTTTTTTTTTTTCTTTTTTCATAGATTAGAAATCCTCTGAAAGTTTATATCTTTAAAAAGAAGAGATATTAATGTTTATCTTCTGCACCATTTTCCCCATCTTATGGAAGAACATGTATTTCTGACGCACACGTCTGGCCTACTTTATTTTGCTAATATTGATGTTTATTTACCTTATTATATTCCAGTGGCTGTCCAATCAACCAGAAATGCATTTGTGTCGTAAGTGTAACTTGGAAATTCTATCTGCTTATGGTTGAGGATGAACAAACATGCAGATAAAGACTCAGCATCATCTTTATATTTTACTAAGATCATCCCCCTCCTCCCCAACAAACACATCATTTTCCTTTTTTCTCTCCTCTTCATCATCACAATTTTTTTTTAATCTTTCTTTTAAAAAGAAAATGTCAAAAAGATTAATTTCTATTTAGTTTATTTAATTTTTTATTTATTTTTGTTCTCATCATCATCATCTCAACAATCTGCTCTGCCAATCATTATCTTTGGCCTGTGTCTTGTCTGGCTCACTAATTAGAATATAGAATTCTATAAAACAGGATCACCATATCAGGTTTCATCCCTAGAAAAAGGATACTTATTGTTGTGCAAGTGATATGCACAAAAATAATGCAACAAAGGTTGGATGCTAGTTCTCACTTGATAAAGTTCAATAGGTTGTTGGAGTTTGAGCTGTTAAGAAGATCTTAATGGATTTTTTTTCATACCTATGTTCACTGTGGTCAGTTTTGTGTATGTGTAAATTTTGAAATAGTCTGTGAATACCTGCCTAGGTAACACAGATATACTTAATAATAATAATAATAATAATAATAATAATCTTTCATCCAGCTAGTGTTTAACCTTTTAGCATTCAACATACTCAAACCAACTCTGTAAATATCAACTCTCAAAGTTTGTGGTCAAAGTCACACTTTGCATGA